AACAATACTAGTGGCCGAGTTTGTTGTACTGCCATCGTCCAGATCTTGCTCTGGGCGTAGTTCATGATTTACTCATAGTGGAGGGTTCTTCGGAATGACTTCAATACATGTGACGAAATACTCCATGACTGCAGATCGCAATGGCCAACCCGAATGTCTGGCTGCGGGGGGGGGGGGAGGGGGCGCATCGACGCGGGTTTTCCTCGGCGGCTAAGGTGATGATGGATGGGTGGCCGGCTGGAAGGTGGAAGAGACTCGGCCATGGGACCCCTCCCACGAACCTTGCCTGTTTGCGTACTTTGAACAGGTGGCTGCCCAATTCCAGGAGCCTAGTTTCGTTGTTTTTGGTGGCATGCAGAAGTGGCGCTCTAGACCAAGGCCAGACTTCGTCTTGGAAGCTTCCTCTTGCTCGAGCGACTGTTTGGGTGCCTGTCCCATGATCCTGGAGGCCATTTATTAGCACAGACAGGAAACAGTCAGAAGACGCTGGCTAAGTGGTCCTGCTACCGACTTGGGCTGTATGCCCGTGCCTCTCGGATGCACATGGGAATACCCATCAGAAAGACAGAATAAGTGAAGGGAAGGGACTTGGTTCTTAGAAAAAAGTGACAATAAGGCCTTAATTAGTGTCTGGTTCACGAAACCCGGCGCGTACGGCGCCAGATGGAGAAATACGGTCCAGCGGATCGTGTGCGCACAATCAAAGCACTGTACAATGCCGGCTGTTAGACGTCTCATTCCGGCTCAGCGAATGGCTGTCTCCAGGGTTTGCTTTTTGACCAGCAAGTCCTGCTCCAGGCGATCGATACGTGCTGACAAGTAGGCGTGCGTGTCAACTTGGTATCAGAGTATTGACCCCGACTCGATGTGAGAATGAGCGGCCTCTGAGATCCGAGCAGAGTAAGATAGACTGGAGCTAACGCACGAGGCTGTCTGTTCACATCAGCGGTTCCTCGAAATCAATGCTGGCAACGTTGGCGAGCTTATTGGCAGGCAAGTCAATTAGTAGATGTCAGGGGTTCGGTATGCACATGTGGCTCGTTGAGGTGCGCTTCAGAGCCAAAGCAGAGCAAAGAATCCTGTCAAAGCTCCAATGAGTTCCATCCGAGTTTCATTTGTCCATCGATCGACCGCCGGAGGAGTCGTTCCTGGAAGAATGACATGCAGCTAGCCTTTCGTAATGGAAGCTCTCAGGATAAGAGACAAAAGGATTCGCGAATTTGCGAAGCACGATTTTTGACAAGCAAACGATATTGAGACGGCGCGGTGATTGCTCCCTGATGATAGCAACGAGCGCTTGGTTCTCGTCCTGAAGAAGCATGACCATCGAATGGCGGCGGGTCGGATGTAGGTGTCTGCTGGGTGAATGTGGACCGAGGCGAAATTGAATTTGATCAATAGAGGATCTCATCACCTGGGGGCGACACTAATGTTGAACGAATGGCCCGTAGATTTCCGAGGCAGACCTCCCAATTGTTCGCAGAGGGTCCAATGATTGCCAGGCCAAGACCAGGACCAGGGCCCGCTGGGGACTCGGTAGGGTACTGTGCGGGGTATTCATTACCGTCCTTCGCGAACATTGACGGCCCAATGTCCTATCTCTCCGACACGAGGTGGCCTCTCCAGACAAGGTGAAGAAGTCCCCTTGTCTGTCTGGCCAGAAACGTGAAGCTCTAAAGAGCCTGGCACCATTTTCGCCTAGTAGCCCTGGCAGAGCAAAAGGGGTCTTGAGCGGATGATGGCAGGAGCATTGACCTTGTTCGTTTTGGACGATGATTTGCCTAGGTTCGTGATAACAAAGAGACGTAAATGTGGCATCCCGCGGGAAGTAACTTGGTATAGAGCAACGTGACGAGAGAAGCAACCTGCCTGAGGATTTATGTGTGATCAGGCTTCCGAGGGAATCCGATGAACGAAACGTACTGTAGAGAAGTCAGGAGGACAGTGTCGGTAGACATAGCACAACAAAGAAGTTCTTGTAGGCCGGAAAAAAACAACGAAATGGCTCTCCTAGCAGAACCTTGGTCCTGTTACTGGTATGCCCTAAGTTTATTCACCGAGGCAGTCTTCTGTAGTTTGTAGAAGGGTTGAACGATAGGTGAGTACGCGCTGAGAGATCAGCAACTGAGCTGCATCCGTTATTGTTGGTGGGTGACGCGAGATGTCTTGGAAGGAGATGTCCATCCGTGTCAGCCGCCACGCCCATGCTTCTCGGAGGCCAAGACACTGTGTTGGTTCGGGCAGGGGTGGAAGAACCAGTCGACCCACGACTTCTAAAAGTCCACCGATGGCACTGACCATTGAAGTTGAGTGGGGTGAGGTTCTCTTGGGGAATCTGATCGTGCACAGTGCCTGAGGGACCACGAGGAAAGAACAAGGACGCTATATGGCAAGGTACCTCTTGGCAACTTCCATTTCGAGTGGGGTTCGGGATCGTGGGTGGCACGACCCTCGCCAGGTTGGCAGCTGCGACGTCTGTTCCGAGCACCTACTTCTTTTCGGGCTCCGTACAGGCAGGTGAGAAGCCGAGAATGGGAAAGACCAAGTCAATACATGCCAAAACAGTCCTGGCGTTGCTCTGAGAAGGAAGAAAGGAGGAGGAGATTGGCAGGCGTCCGAGACGGGAGCTTGAGAGAGTCGGCTCCCTACGGCACGCTGTCGCGAACGGTACTGCCAGCAGCAGCAGGGGTCGACATGTTCCATTGGCGTGTAGAAACAAAGCCGTTATTTCAGTCGTTCGGGTTTAGGCTTAAGCTTGACCTTCGTTCGGCATGGGCTGGGTTGGTCCGTCCACCCGTCACCGCGCGATTTCAGTCCACTGGGTCAGCTTGCCCATCTCCAATCTCGCGGAAATCGCCTCGCCGCCAGCGCAGCGCAGTCCACTGCGAGCGAGTGGTTTGGATGGTTGGCTTTGGCTTTGGCGTTGGCGTTGGCGGTGGTGATGATTATGACGCGCTATCACGAATATCCTCGAGCAAAAGATGAGATGGAATGAAGCGTGCCTAGGGAAAACAAGGCGACGATTCCTTGTGGTATTTTCGCACGTATGTGCGCACACGTCAATCATCCTCACTAGCCTCGCGGGAAAATGGCCACACGCTTCCTGTGCCATCGTCATCAAGGCACCGAGAGAGGCTTGTGATGATGATGCGCCCTGGGCCTCCAGAGGGTAGGTACTCCAACCACAGCCACCACAAACCTGGCGTGGTGCATGCTGTCGGTCTGCTGCACCCCGGGCAACTGATGTGCATGTAGTAGACGTTCTGGCAAGCAAGCTTCAGGCATTGCGTGCCGCACATCCCAAACTCCGGCAAGCGGTGGGTGTCCTTCCACTTCCAGGTCGTAAGGCAAGTCGAGGTAAGATACTGCCAGTTACCTAGATACCTGACCTGATAGAATCCTACGTGGTTAGTAAGGTACCTACCTATCCAGGCTGTCTTGGTCTTCCATATCGAGATGGTAGCTGCTCGACTTTGCCTCAATACCAACGACGAACGAGCCGAGGGTGAGAGCACCTTGCTGGCCCAATGGCTCACATCTCACTTCAACACACATCAGTTGCCCATGACGCTTCATTGCCCTCGGCCCAATAGCATCGCCACCACCCATGTATGTACCTGCTGCCAGAGGATGCGTGGGTTGTCGAGCACTATTCAGGTACTCCGTTACCACCTCCTTCAGCTGTTCGTGGCGTCCACCAGTCCTTCGTGATTCTCACCCCCCCAGGAAAATGATAGTCCATGGCTGTTTCCTGTCTCAGTCGAACGAAGGTGTGTTTGCGCGCTCGCTCCTCTCTTACCTGATCGACTCTTTCGTAACTGCCTGCTTGTCATACCTACCCGAAGGGCTTCCGGCCCCTCCTGCTTCCACCACCCCTTGGCCCTTGGCCCTTGGCTCTTGGCCCATGTCTGGCCCCCCTCCCCTTATCCCCTGTAATCGAGAGTAATGAATCGATGTGCCTCTACGTCCACTTTCACCTTCCACTCCACGCTACGCCGCACCGTTCACCCCCACTGGACAGGCGACTGGAAGGACCCCGGTTTTTTTCCGTGGCTTAATCTTGCTCCTTCCCCCCCCCAAATCTCGTTGCTCACAAGTCGCTCGTTCGCTCGCGCCCCGGCCCGACACACCTCGCCTCGATTTTCTTCGTCTGTCCACTCACCCCCTTACTGACACTCTCTCCGGATTTCCTCGACGTCGGTCACCACCTCCTCCTCCTTCCCCTATCAATCAGCTATCCCCGAAAACCAGGGATTTCTCCTGACGTTGTACGCCTGGCGAATTCGTGTTCCGACGCATCTCGAAGCATCGACCGCGCACCGATTTGGTCTCCCCTTCTCTGCCGTGCAGCACTCACGCCTGCGTACTAGTACCAGTCAGGACCAGCACCAGCATCTATCTGTAATCGCACCCAGCGCCAGTGCCAACCGTCTGCCCTCTGCTGCATTCTTGCTCCAGACGTCGCACCCAAGCCATATACGCCTTTTACCCACCGACCGGTCCTCTCTACCTCATCTTGATCAATACAGGGTCATCTGTAAGTGTTTCTTCTCGTGCGTGCCAGGTTCACCCCCCGATCACGCCGGCGGCGGCGGCAGCAGTCTGAGCGACGCAAGGACCTGTACCTGGCTGGGCCTGGACATGACCACAAAGTAGCCCGTGGTCCGAGTGTCAGGTTTTCGCTGCACCCTCATTCACCACCTCCTTGTACCCGTCGCATCGCCCGGTTCTCTCCCGATCTCCACAATCATCCGCTGCCCATCTGCGACACTCACGACCCAGACTTTTTTTTCTCTCTCCCCCCCCCCCTTATTCTCATTACGCTCCCTTGCTTCTTTGTCGGCATCAAACTCGATCGCTGACTCGATATCACCAGAGAACACCAGCGCGCGACCGGTTGACCGTTGTCGCCCCCCACACGACGTCGACTCTCCTCCATCTCAAATAGCCGCACAGGATCCATCAATCATTAACCCCTCGCCATCAATATCGACGCGATCATGTCCTACTACGAGAACAACCCCCAGCAATGGTCCAGCCCTGGCCAAAACAACTGGGAACACCAGGCGCCGCCTGCTTCGCGTGGTGGTCAGTCAATAATGATGCTGCATTGCCGTCTTGGAGCCCAGCTGACACTTTTCACCTGACAGCATCCGGCGGGCCCACGCCTCAGGACGACTTTGCCTTTTTCTACCAATTTGAGGGTGAGTCGGAGCACCCACAGATCGCTGTGAAACCTGCGAGCTTGTTGAATCGGTGCTCGCCGTCTCGACAAGTCGCCATGCTTGCTGCACGAAAGGACAAATTTGGCTAACGAAATGACAAAATCAGATGTCGCCCGAACCCTCACTGCCAGGCCTACTGAACTCGATCGCTTTGAGAACGTCTCCAAAAACAACAAGTCATACGGAATGAGCGGTCGCCGTGAGTACCCATCCCCCGGCCCCAAGATGGGTGGAGGTCCTGGAGGTGGAAGGAAGTCGGTCGACTACAGTAAGTGGGCTCGTATCAGGCGAGCATCACCAATTTGCTTCGCCGCTGACACTCATCTTTCGCCAGACGGACGCATGTCTGCGGGTCCCGGATCTCGCCCTCACTCCGTCAACCAGTTCGATGATGCCCGAAACCATCCCAACTCGAACCTCCAGAACTTCTACGCCACCCAGCGCCAGCAGTCTTCGCGCGGCTCCAACGAAGCGGAGCAGATGATGCAGGCGAAGAGACGGATGGCAGCTCAACGGGAGCGTGAGCTTCGCAATCTCCACACGGAGCAGCAATACCAACGAAGTAGGCCACCCTCTGCAGTCTAAAGCACATGAGGCTTTCCAATGGCAAAAAAAAAAAAAAAAACACCCTTCAAAATAGATAATTCAGGCCATGGGGTCAACACACCTTCCGGAGCTGTTTCTCCCCCTCATATCAAACATCGAAGATGCATTTTCTTGATCTACAGTAAAGCAACGTCTGACCGAGCACTCACGCTGACCACTTGTTTTATCTACAGATGTGCTGACCGACGTCAACTACAACGGCAATAGCAATGGTGCTACTCCAGCCCCCGCCACTCCCAACAAACAAATGTCGGAGGAGGAGACCCGTGAGCTCATTGCTCGCCAGCGCAGTGCTTTGTATGGAGAAGGTCCTTTCGCCGATAAGGCGGGCTACATTGACGAGACGGGCATCGTCCGCACCGGCAACCCTGGTCACAGCGGTCCTCCCAGCCTGCGTGGTGCCTCGCCGATGGGCTACGAGGGTGGCCCTGGTCCCTTCCGTGGCGGCCTGGCCGGTCCCAGCGATGCTGCTAGTCTGCGAGGACAGTCCCCCATGACCCAGGAGCTCCGCGGCAACCCCCCGCCGCACTCTGACGTTCACTCTGCGGCCTCAGCAGCTGATGGTGCCGCCCACGAGCAGGCCTCTCGCACTGGTAGCACGGCCAGCCCGCAGCCCAACACATCCAACAAGAATGCGTTTGACACGGCTGTCAGCCAGGCCGCTGCTCGCACCACCAACTCTTCCCCTGGCGGATCTTCGTCTCCTAGGCAGGAGGCCCCCAACGGACCGAAGCCTAGTCAGCAGAGCGCATCAGTTGCTCCCATTGGTACTAGACCCTCGGCTGCGCCCGCCGCTGGGTCCGCCGCTACAAAGCGTTCGACCACGCCGCTTGCCTCCCCTGGAGGCTGGGGCCGCGGCAACGGTGTCTGGGGCCCGCAGTCATCTGGTCTCGGTGCTACTTCAGCCAGTGTTTGGGGTTAAGTATGCTTTTCGTGGACGTTTCTGTGTTTCTGGCCGCTCGTCGACCACAACAAGTACGGGATAGGCGCAAACAGGGTAGGGGTTCCACCACAACTGGTATGTTTCACTGGTCTTGCCTGGCGTTTCCTCACCACGGAGAACTCGACATATATCATTGGTGCGGCGGATCATGGGAGCGAGGGAATGCCTGGGCATTTGACACGGAGTTTCTTTCGCCACGACGGAGTTGCATTCTGCACGCTTATGGGGTCTGAATAAGTCTGCCACAGGGACAAGGATGCATATTGCGAATGGGGTTCTCAACGGGGGCATGTTGCTGCCGTCAACGGATGCGATTCAGGATACCACAACGGAAGGTTCTGGCGCGTAACTGCAACAGCAGCGGAGCAAGGCGATGTTTTACTTTCGGGGAGCTATTCTTTCGCGTTGGAGCGAGAGGAAATGGGCATGGGG